GCAACCAGCCACACCCGGCGGGGGCTCAGCACAGACCCCAAAGCCAGGAACCTCTCAGCCGACGCCCCTGGGGCCCAGCAGGAGCCCCCTGCCCTCAGGTACCACCCCAATCCATTTGCCTAGCGTGTGCCCTCCCCCTCCCTTCCTCAGGGCTCTGGGTGGTCCCAGGAGATACTACAGGGCAGGGTCCACCCCAGCGGGTGGATTTCACCCCATGCAGTCCCAAGGAGGGGTCCGTTCTGGTCTGACAGAGACAGGTCCAGGGGCCCAGTGGGGCGAGCGGGGGTGTGGAGGACGGGGCGAAGACCAGATCTGGGGGCCAGTGAATCCCACAATTCCCGGGGCCATTTGCCCCGCGTGCTGCCCTCACGGCCCTTCCTACTGTGGGGCCCCCTGCCTCCCACCTGGAGCTGGCAGCACCCACCTCTCCCTGCACTGCCCTTCAGCAGCCTGGCTTCCCAGGAGTCACACAGGGTCTCACCGGGATGCACAGCTCTCTCGTGGGGGTGTCAGTAGAGCCCACTCCCCAGAACCTCAGCTTTGGGAGGTCGCCCAGGCCCGGATGGTTTCCAGGGTGTCCCGAGCCTGGCACAGTTGGTGTGGGAGCTGCCTGGGCTGTTCTGGCAGTAAGTGGCAGGTGGTGTCTTCGGCAGGGATGCCGGATGGTGGCCTCGCTGACGGTAAGCGCTTCTCCGTGGGGGACATGGCCACCCTGGGCGGGGTGCTGGGCGTGCTGCTGCTGCTGGCCCTATTAGGCCTGGTGGTCCTGGTCCATAAGCACTACGGCCAGCGACTGAAGTGCTGCTCCCACACGGCTCCGGTAAGGCTCTTGGGGGTTTGGGGGGACAGGGCCGCGTAGGAGCAGGGGGCAGGAGATGGACAGGAGTAGACACATGGGGACAGGTGGGAGCAGGATCCCAGGACCCAGCCAATCCCTCGGAAAGCTCAGCGTGGAACAGATGGATGCGGACACCCAGGGTCAGAAAGACTGGGAGGCACCTGCCAGGGAGTCACAGCCCAGGCTTGGGGGCGCGGCTCACACCCTCGCTCCACCCTCCCCGCCCAGGATCCCCAGACCCCCGGCTTTGATAACCAGGCCTTCGCCAATGGCCACGAGGCCAACTGGGCACCGGCCCCCAGCCCTGGGCACGTTCCCAAGACCACGGAGGCACCGCCCACGGCCACGGACCCCGCGCCCCGCGAACCTCCGGCGTCGCCGGCGCTCCCCAGCCCCGGGTCGCCTGCGGTCCCCGCTGGGGGAAGCCCCACCGCCGTGAGATCCATCCTGACCAAGGAGCGGCGGCCACAGGGCGGCTACAAGGCGGTGTGGTTTGGTGAGGACATCGGAGCCGAGGCCGACGTGGTCGTGCTCAACGCGCCCAGCACGGATGCGGACGGCGCCGGCGACTCGGGCGACGAGGACGCGGAGGCGGACTCGGGCCGGGGCGGGAGTCCCCACGACTAGCCCGGCGCCGATTCCGCCTACATGTAGCGCGGCCCTCGCCGGTCTGGACCCAGGAGGTTCCGCTCGGCCGGGCTCCCCGCCCTTCATTACGCAGAATAAAGTGACACTTTGGAATCTCCGGGCGAGGCGTCAGGCGGGTGCGCGCGAGTCCGCCGCGGAGGGGGTCCCCACCGGCCCGCTCGCTCTCGGGGTCCCTCCACCACCACGAGAGCGCGGGCAGCGCTTCCCGTAAGCCACCTGCTGCGCCGCCCGGCCGCAGAGCTTCCTGCGGCCTCGTGCCAGCTGGCGGACGGGAAGTTCCTTTCCCGGTCTAGCCACGGCCCGAGGGGGGGACCCTGCCCTGGGAAATCGCAGGCAGCCCCTCGGCTTCGGTCTCCCCCTCCCGACCCAACAGGGAGAGTCTTTTGGGGGTGTTGAGGAGTCAACACAAATCCCCCGAAGGAGGAGGCTCGTTCGGGGCCTCTCAGGGGTGACCGTCCCTTCTGCAGCCTAGTGCCCGTGGGCGGGGGCGCAGCCGTGAGCGCCGGGCGCGGAAGGTCCCCGCGCAGAGGCCTGGACCGCGACGTGCGGCGCCGGGTGGGCGCGTCCGAGCGTGGCGGGAGCGCGGCGCGGGTCCGCAGGCCGTGGGGGCGGGGAGAGGTCGGGGACGGAGGGGCGCGGCGGTGCCGGGCGGGGGTCGGAGCGGGAGGCAGACCTCCCTCCGCTCGCTTTCTCAGGGCAGCCGCAGGCCGGACCTCCACCGCAAGGCCATCAAACTGTCCCTTGTGGGTCATCAGCATTTTTCCTTGCGAAAAGGCACCATGAATTCTTTTCCAAGTGTTTTAATTTCGAGAATACGTGCATGTTCTTGTCTGAACAACTCCCAACGTTAAGAATGCAAACCGGACAGCTGCCCCTCCGCCGGGCACACCCGCCTCCCGTTACCCTCCTAAAAAGCGCAAAAAGGGCCTGGTTGTGTTTGGGGTCCCGTTTTACTTCTGGATCCGTGGAGTACCCGGCGCATCCCGATGTAACCCCATTAATGGCGCCGTGCTGCCGGGGCGCGGCCGCCACCAGCGGAACTGCCCGCCCCGGGCGCGTGACGTCGGCCGCGGCACCTGCAGCCCCGGGCCCCGCCCCGGCGCGCCCCGCCCCCGCCCGGCTGCCATAAAAGCGCCGGTCCCCCGCGGCTCCGCGAGAGAAAACTTCCGTCCCGGCGGCTCCGGCGCTCAGGTACTCGGGGCCCCCGACCCGCGCGAGCGGGAGGCCGAGCTGGAGCCCACGGCGCGGCTCGCTGCGCTCCAGAGCAGGGCTGGGGGCGGGCGGCGTCCGAGCGGCTGGGGACGGGCGGGTGCGCCTGGGAGCTCCAGCGGGCGGCTGTTTAGGTTTCGCTTTCCCGCGAGTCGCGGTTTCGGTTTCGCTTTCCCGGGGAGCCTCCGGGCGCGCCCCCTCCACGAGGCCATCCCCGTGGTGTCTCTGCAGGGTCCAGCCTGCACCTGCCTGTCCAGGCCAGGACGCTGACTCAACACCTGTGATTTCATGTGTTTGCCGCATCTGCAGTCACACCTGTAGCCACCTTGACCGAGGAATCGGCATCTAGACAACCTCGGTGGCTACGAGTCCTCAATCCACACCTGTGACCCCTAACACCTGTTAATACCTGGGTCACACTTGACACGCGGCCACACTGCGTGACACCTGCAGTGACAAAGAACCCTTACCTCAGCTGTCGTAATACCTGCCGCCCCTGCCACGCAGCCTGACTCTCCAGACGGTCCCTGTGGAGGGAGCAATGGCCTTGGCTCCTGAGAGGTGAGAGGTTGGCCCGCCATCCCCGAACGTCCCCAAGCGCCTTGCAGCCCACAGCCCGTGGCCCTAAGTCCACGTGGCCACTCCACCTGCAGGGGGGCTCCCCGCGTGCTGTTTGGAGAGTGGCTTCTGCGCGAGATCAGTAGTGGCTGCTACGAGGGGCTGCGGTGGCTGGATGAGGCCCACACGCGCTTCCGCGTGCCCTGGAAGCACTTCGCACGCAGAGACCTGGGCGAGGCTGACTCACGCATCTTCAAGGTGAGACGCTAGCCTCCCCCACGGGGGACCTGCGGGCCCCACCCCGGGCCCACGTTCTCTGTCCTCCTCCCCAGGCTTGGGCAGTGGCCCGTGGTAGGTGGCCACCGAGCAGCAGCAGAGGTGACCAGCCGCCCCCTGAGGCTGCGGAGCGCGCGGGCTGGAAAACCAATTTTCGCTGTGCCCTGCACAGCACGCGGCGCTTCGTGATGCTACAAGACAACTCCTGGGACGCCACCGACCCGCACAAGGTGTACGCGCTCAGCTCTGAGCTGGGCGGGAGAGGTGAGGACTGCCGCGGGTGGGTGGAGGCCGGGGAAGCAGGCAGAGCTGGGCAGAGGAGCAACTCTGCAGGGGCGGGGGACTCTCCTGCTTCCAGGCGCCTCTGCATCAGACTGGTGGTTTTAGAAACCTGCCCGGGCCACCTGCCTGGTGGTTGGGTGCGGGGTAATCAGCAAGTGAGTTCGCGGGGCTACTCAGGCAGTCACAGCCAGGTCCTAACATGCCCACCCCCATTCTCAGAAGGCCCAGGCATCCACCAGGGTGAGGAAGATGCCCTCGAAGGTCCCTCACGCACACAGGTAGTCTGCTTGCTGCTGCGGGGTGTTGGGGTCTGCCACCTCCTGCTGGACCTGGGTGGGGGGTAGGAGTGCTTATGCCATTCTTGTCTTTGCCCTGCAGGGTGGGCCCCCGGAGCCATTCCCGGCAAGAGGCGGCTCTGAGCTGCCAGGCCCATGCCCGGTTCCAGCTGGTGATACCGGGGACCTCTTGCTCCAGGCCATGCAGCAGAGTTGCCTTGGTGACCATGTGAAAGCTGTGTGTGGGGCAGAGCCAGACCCACAACAAGCTCCTGGAGAGGGCCAGGAGGGGCCGGCCCTGAGCGGGGGCTGTGGAGGTGAGTGGGCGGCTCTGCCCAGCAGGAGGTAGTTCCAGGTGGAGGGGCAGGCAGGGTTAACAGAGCCCTGGGGAGAGTGGGAGGGACCCCACTGTACCAGTACTGACACTCCAGAAGGATGCTGGGGCAGGGTCCCAGGAGCAGTAGCTGCAGGCCCCAGGCATGGGGAGTGGGGAGCTGGGAACCGGGACGGGGTGGTCCAGCAGGAAAGGTTCTGGCAGAGCTGGGCCGGTGTGGCAGTTCCACCCTCTCCTCCTCAGGCCCAGGGCTCCCTGCTGGCGGGCTGCACTCAGCATGGGCGGTGGAAGCTGCCCCTATCTCCCAGCCCCAGCCCCCCGACCTAATGACAGGATGCCACCTCAGGCAGCCCTCTCCAGATGCAGGCCAGGGTGCAGCTCCAGAGCCCCCACGTGAGGCAGAGACTCGCCCGGCCCCCTGCCCCAGCATCCGCGCTGCGGCGGGAGGTAAGCGGCCTGGGCTGGGCTGGGGCAGCCCTTCCCTGCCCATCCCTGACGCTCACAGCTTGCTCTGTGCAGAGCCCAGCCTGGGGGTGCTGGACGTGACCATCATGTATAAGGGCCGAGCAGTGCTGCAGGAGATAGTGGGGCGTCCAAGCTGCTTGCTCCTTTACGGCCCCCCAGGCCCAGCTGCCCAGGCCGCAGAGCCCCAGCACGTGGCGTTCCCCAGCCCTGCGGAGCTCCCTGACCAGAAGCAGCTACGCTACACAGAGGAGCTGCTGCGGCACGTGGCCCCGGGGCTGCAGCTGGAGTTGCGGGGACTGTGGCTGTGGGCCCGGCGCATGGGCAAGTGCAAGGTGTACTGGGAGGTGGGCGGCCCCCTGGGCTCTGCCAGCCCCTGCACTCCTGCCCGCCTGCTGCCGCGGAACTGTGACACCCCCATCTTCGACTTCAGCGCCTTCTTCCAAGGTCAGTGAGGCACCTGCCTTGGGGGCTGTCTCCAGGTGGTCCTCTGGGAGCACCTGCCGGTACTCAACAGAGCCCCCTCCTTTAGAGCTGGTGCAGTTCCGGGCACGGCAGCGCCGGGGCTCCCCCCCCTACACTATCTACCTGGGCTTTGGGCAGGACCTGTCTGCTGGGAGGCCCAAGGAGAAGAGCCTGGTCCTGGTGAAGGTGAGACCAGGCCCTGGCGCGGGGGAGGCTCGCAGCCCCCATCAGTGTGCGGCCCTCTGACGACACCCTCCCGCAGCTGGAGCCGTGGCTGTGCCGGGCCTACCTGGAGGGCGTGCAGCGCGAAGGCGTGTCCTCCCTCGACAGCAGCCTCAGCCTCTGCCTGTCCAGCACCAACAGCCTCTACGACGACATCGAGCGCTTCCTCATGGAGCTGTAGCAACGCGCCTAGGGCCAGAGCCCGAACCTCCCGAGCCTAATAAAAAGAGCCCCAGATCCAGTGCTGGCATCCTGACTGGGTTGGGCTTGGGTGTCCAGGCCTCGGCTGCGGGGACCACCAGGCTCGCTCCCCCTCCCTGGAAGCCAGGATTTGCTGGCAGTGCCCTGGCTGCCTGTCACCTCTCCACTGAGCTGCTGGGGCCAGGGGAGGGAGATGAGCCTGCAGCCATGCACACTGCTGCTGTCTTCAGTGAAGTGTGACGCATCTTGCATCCGAGCCAACAAACTGCTTAGAGAACACCATGCCCTTGAGAGGCAGGTGTTGGCAGGAAGCCGCTCCCACCAGGTGTGCTGGGGAGGGCGGCCATACCTGGCTCCCCATGAAAGGCCAGCTCTGCTCTGTGCCCAGGGGCTGTCCCCAGTCTTTGGGTTCCATCAGAACCGGCCTGCCTCATGGGAGGCGGCTGAATTGAGTGCAAACTTGAGCAATTATTTACAGGAACGCAACATAATTGGCAAAGAGAAGGGAACTCCTAATTCAGACACAGATACACGAATGGCTGCTGGCAGGAGGAGGCCGTCCCAAGATTTAACAGTCACCCCCACCACCCCCCTCCAGCCAGGAGACCCCTTGTCACCAAAAGCTTTACTTTCAAGTATTAAGTCAATCGAGAAGTTTCTAAAGATAATGCATTTTTGATAAATTAGAACACAATGGAAACTGTGTGTCTATAGTACACATATAAAAAGGTCCAGTTTAAACTGTGAGCAAGACAGGCGCAGACACCAGCTACCATCACAGGAACCTGAAGGCAGAGGAGATGGTAGCCCCAGTTTTCTGCCACTCGAGACACAGCAATGCCACCAGCCCCAGGGTCATCGCCCGCAGCTGCCCAGCCTCAGGCCTCGGCCCCCTGGGTGGGTGGCTCCTCCCCGGCCTCGGGCTTCTTATGCCTGCGCATGTGCCTGTACTTGTCCACGTAGGCCTTCACCAGGTTGGCCACCTTCACGGGGTTGATCTCGCCACTCTTGCTGTGGCAGATCTGGAGAAAGAGGCACAGTTACCCAGACGTCCTTTACATCAAACAGCCTCAGCAGGAGCCTGCCCTCCCTGCGAGCAGGCCCTGGGTGCCAGCATCCAGACAGCCAGGCAGGGGCCGCTCCCCCACCTGCAAGCCCCCGTCCCATTGCGCTGCCACCTCCTAGGGCTGCGGAGGGACCCACGGGTGCCATGGGCCAGGAGGAAGCAGGACCCAAGCTCAGACCCTGGTGGGAGATGGGCTGAGCCCGCTGTAAACTGCAGACTGGCCAATTTTAACATCGTCTATTTAACAAGCGGTGGAAGGCAGGGCCCCAGGTGCAGACGACAACACGTGTCTCCCTGAGCAGCTCCGAGGGGCGGCTCCGGGCAGAGGCGGGGACTGCACCCCGCAGCCAGGACGAGGCAGCGCGGCCCCTCGTGCGTCTGGCTGTGCCCCACGGGCTGCACTCAGACACCTCCGAGTGTGTCAGCAGGAGTGCACCAACCTGCCACACTCGTGACGACTGACCACCCTATGTAGTGGCGTGCTGCCCGTGACCCTGGGTTCCTGAACACATACACGCGTGTGCAGCCCTGCTTGCCCACCGAGGCCCACCTTCTGCACAGCCTTGCGCAGGATGTCCTTGTATTCCTCCTTGGTCACCTCCCTCTTCTGGTAGAAGGGCTTGATGGCCAGCTTCACCTCCTCCACGGCCCGCTCCTGCATGTGCAGCTTCTTCAGGTACTGGGAGCAAGGACGTGCACGTGACCCCGCTGGGCAGGACCAGCGCAGAGGCTTGGGGGGCCCTTAGGTGAGGGCACCATGGTTCCCCAAAGGCCCCAGGGGCAAATCTGTCTGCGCTCCACGGTCCTGACTGAGGCCCACCTAGGCTGGCTTCTACCCCTAAACTCAGCCCCGGGAGGCTGGAGAACCTGGAGGGCCGGGACTCACCTCCTCCTTCTTGGTCTTCTCTGCGGCTGGCCTGGGGGCGGGGGTCCTCTCCTCCGAGTTGCTGGCTATGGTGGCTTGGCTGGCTGGCTCCGAGGCCGAGGTCAGGACAGGCAGCATGGGGGCCAGGCTCTGTGCCGGCCCACAGCCCACCAGCGGCAAGGTCCCCTGCAGGACAGGCTGGAGTGGGGGCTGGCCGGCCGGCACGCAGGGTGGGAAGCTCGTGGGCAGCTGAGCTGGGGCAGCAGGCACGTCAGGGCTGCAGACCTGCAGAGGGGACCGCTGCTGAGCCGCCGTGCCGGCCGAGCCCTGTAGCCTCAGTGCCAGCCTCGCACAGCCCACGGCCCCAGCCCAGGCACCCACCTGAGCGGGGTCTCGGCCTGGGAACCCAGGCTCCGGAAGCACGTGACTGGGAGGCAACTCGGAGAAGGTCGCCTGCCTGACCCCCCCGGGGGCCACGTCCTCCACATCCCAGGCTCCTTCCCAGGGCTTCTGCGGCCTGTGAAGCGGCGTCCCTGAGGGCCAGACAGGGGAGGTGGGTGCTCCAGAAGAAGCACCCCAGGAGGAAGGCCTACAGGCTAACCCACAGCCGGTCCCTTCCTGGGGGTGGAGCCCAGCCCTGAGGAGCCAGGGAAGGTGTGAGCCTGCTCTCAGGTCACTGCCTCCCTTGCCCACGCCCTGCGCCTGCCAGGACCACGGCGAGACACCAGCGCCCCTCCCAGCCCACCCAGGGCCTGCATGTGCCTTGCGGCAGCCGGGGCGCTACTCACTCGGAGCTCTGTCCTCCGCCAGGGTGCTGCCCTCCGACTCTTGGAGGTTCCAGGTGACTCTCTTCACAGGGGCTCTGGAGCGCAGCAGGGGGGGCTGCGGGACCACCTCCTCAGGCCCCGCCTCCTCCTGCACCTGCCCGCTGGCCGCGGGGCCGTCCTCCTTCGCCACGGGCACCGCACCCGGGGCACCCGGCACCGCTGAGGCCTCAACCACGTCCTGCCCGAGTGTGTGCTGCTCCTGGGGGCCCTCTGCCTGCAGCGGGGGCTGCGCGGCATCTTCGCCGTGGATCAGGGACACCTCCCTCTGGATGGCGGCCATGGCCACGCTGGCTGGAGGCAACCCGGGGTGTTGGGGGAAGTCTCGCTCTGGGGAGGAGTCTGTACTTTCGGGAGAAGGTGGGGAGCTCATGTCATCAAGCTGGATGAAGACAGCGTCACCTGAAAAGTCCTCAAAGACGTGCCCCGCCTCCACGGAGTCACCGTAGTCCAGGTCATCGGGCACACACTGAGCTGGCACCTCCAGGGCAGGGGGGGCCTCTGAAGGGGCCTCGTGGGCCACGGCCACAGCCAGCTCTGGAGGGACGCCTGCCTCCGCCAGGGCTGGTGGCCTGTGGTCTCCGTCCTGCCTGGACTCCCCCAGTGGCCGAGGGCCTGGGGAAGCTTCCTGCGCAGCCCCCTTCCGCTCTGGGGAGCGGGACCAGGTCCGGGGCCGCTTCTCACGGGAACGTGGCCGCCGGGGCTCCCGCATTCTGTGCTCTGAGCTGGGTGACCGAGACCTCCGCTTTCTCTCTCGCGGCCGCGCCACACTCCCCTTCCTGTCCGGCCGCTCACGGCTCCTCTCCCGCTGGTGCCTGTGCCTGTGCGCCCTCTCCAGGCTGCTGTGGGGGGAGCACTCTCTGCCCCGAGGTCGGGACCCTGACCACGGTTTCCTCTTCTTCCTGCTCTCGTAGTGCTCGTAGGAGGAGCTGCCGGGGCTCCCCGAGCGGGACCGGGAAGGCCTGCGGCCGTGGCCCCAGGGCCCTCGCCGCCACTCCTTGCTCCTGTCCTTGGCCTTCCTCCTCTTAGCTCTCTCGCGGCTGCTGGAGCGGTCGTGGTCGCTGGAAGACCTCCGGCTCTTGGCCTTGGACCGGTGCCGCTTGGTGTGGTCCTCGCCCACTGATGGGGAAGCTGACCGCGAGCTCCTGTCCCTGGAGCCGGAGCGGGTCCCAGAGCACGTCCTCTGGCGCTCCCTGGCTGCCCTCTTCCTCTTGGACGTCTTCCTGCTGCGGGAGCTGGACGTGGAGCGGGACCGGGAAGGTGACCGCAGCTCCACGACCCTGTGGGTGGCTGCCTGTGGCACGTCCGGGCTGGGCGGGGCATCTGGCTCCACGACAGTCACACAGGTCACCGTCCGTTCCTCGGAGCCAAAGAAGGTGCCGCAAGACGCCCTGTCCTCCTCATCCCAAGGCTCCGGGGGGCGCGGCCTCTGCACCCGGGCAGCAGTGCCCTGGCTCTCCGCAAGCCCCTCCTCGTCCAGCCCCTCCCGTTCCGTGTCAGAGGCCCCCTTGGCAGCCCCCTCGCCCTGGAGCTGGAGCACACCAGAGGGCGGCTTGCGAGTGGGCGCAGGCTCCACGCCAAAGACGTTTTCCACCGTGTAGGAGGTGACGCAGCGCACAGCCTGCGACGCCGGGGCCTTCGGGCTGTCGATGGAGATGGTCCGCGTGATCTCGGACGGCAGGAGGCCGGAGCCCAGACTTTCAGGGCTGCTGCTGGGGGGGCTCGAGTCAGAGCCGGTGGGGTCAAACGGGTCGTAGATCTCGCTTTTGAGCTGCTTTGTCTTTTTGATGGAGAAGAGGGGCGAAGGGTTCTCCTTCCTCTGCACCTTGCTGTCCACAGGCCGGAACGTGTTGCAGAAGCCGGGGCTGGAGAGTCTGCCGGCGTGTGCTGCGTTCCCAGGAATATTGATCCTGAAGCTCTCGAAGGTCGACCCAACACCCTTCCCTCGTGACGGCCCCAGGGGGGCCGGGGGCCGGGAGCTGCCCGTGTGCCTGCTGGGCTCCTGGGGGGCCCTGCCGCTGGGATCGCTCTCTGCCTGGGCGCCTCGCTCTGGCTGCCCGGGGCCCTCCCTGCCTGTCAGTCGGCTGATACAGGCGCTGGGGATCTCGATGCTCTGCCCTCGGGCGGGGGCTGCATCTTGTCTGCCGCTGCCCTCGTTTCTTCTGATCTTTGGTATCCGGGGTAGCTCGGAGATGTCCGCTCTCCTGGGGGCTGGTTTCAGGGCATGTCCTAGGATCGCGCTCTTACACGGATAGTTAGAACGA